TGCTGCTGCTGATGCTGCTGCTGCTGCTGTGTCATGGCTTTGGAAAAAGCTGCAAGCAGCGGATCTTGGGGCTCCTCAAAATCTTCTTTTAAACACGCGGCTGTCTCCACTGTTCCCGAAGTGTTGAAGCTGCTCGTATCCTGAGCTCTGAGCTGCTGCTGCTGCTGCTGCTGCTGCCGCTGCTGCTGCTGCCGCTGCTGCTCCTGCGGCTCCTCCAAGAGGTCCTCAGGGGAATCGGCGCCCCGTGGGGACAGCGAGTCGGTTCCAGCAGACAAGCCCTGCAGCAAATACAAAACTGACAGTTCTGCCGCTGCTGCTGCTGCAGCAGCAGCTGCTGCTGCCGCAGCAGCAGCAGCTGCTGCTGCTGCTAATTCGTCGCCACTCTGCTGCAGTAGCGCAGCTGCGACGACAGCGGCAGCTGGTGCTACTGCTGCTCATGCAGCGGCGATAGCGCTGCACCCAGCACAGGGGAAGCAGCAGCAGCAGCAGCAACAACAACAACAACACCAACAGCAGCAACAGCACTCGGCCTCACGCCTGCAGCGAGGCCCTCCTTGCGTCAAACCAGAGCCAGAAAGAAACAGGACAAAACAAAAGCACCAGGCATGAACACAATGAGCAGCAGCAGCAGCAGCAGCAGCAGCAGCACGAAGAGTAACTGCGGTCGCAAGCAGTGAGTTGCACAAACACACACAAATAGCTGCTCATAGAGAAGGCCAGCAGGCACAATGCAGAGATGAGGCGGAAGGCTCACCGGTAGCTGCTGCTGCTGCTGCTTCTGCTGCTGCTGCTGCTGCAGCTGCAGCAGCTGCTGCAGCGTGGTGGCCTCCCGCGGAGTCTTGTCTCTGCGCGGGGCCTCCAGCAGCCGCGGGAAGCGGAAGGTAAAGGGAATATCAAATTCGTTGGAGACAATAAATTCAGCAGCAATTAAAGAGACCACCCAACTCACATGCACGGGCCACGTTACGTCCACCCTGCAGCAGCAGCAGCAGCAGCAGCAGCAGCAGCAGCAGCGGCAGCATCAAGACGTCTCGTGCGCGCAGCAGCGGTGGCGGTGTAGCAGCAACAGCAGCAGCAGCAGTACTAGCAGAAACAGGCGAAGCAGCAGCCGCGAGAGACAGAAAAGACAGGAATACGGCAAGCTTTGTAGAGGCGGCAGCAGCAGCAACAGCAGCAGCTGCTGTAGCTCAGCAGCTCAGCAGCAGCAACAGCAGCAGTAACAGCAGCAGTAACAGCAGCAGCAACGACAGCAATAGCAGCGGCACCAACAGCAGCAGCAGCGGCAGCAGCAGCAGCGTTCGGCGTGCCTCGTGGATAAGCTGCGGCTCTCTGAGAGCCAAGGAGCAGCAGCAGCAGCAGCAGCAGCACCGGGGGGAACCCGCACTGCGTGAGGCCCCATCTGTGTCCTCAGCTCAAGCAGCTGCAAGTCCGAGAGGCCTCCTACCTGCAGCAGCAGCAGCAGCAGCAGCAAGAGCAGCAGCCCGCAGCGCTGCTAGAGCCACGTGATAAAGAGGCGCTCGAATCTGCAGCAGCAAGACATAGGAGGCCCCATGCAGCAGCAGCAGTTGCTGCTGCTGCTCTTGCTGCAACAGCAGCTGCTGCTGCTGTTGCAGCAAGAGCACCTAGAGCAGGAGCACGAGCAGCACCAGCAGCAGCACCAGCATCAGCAGCAGCATCGGGATCATCATCATCAGCAGCAGCAGCAGCAACTAACCCTGCAGACAGAGAGAACTTTGTTTGGGTCTGTGGGGTTTAAAACCCCCAGCAGCAAATGAGTGCAGTGAGCCAGAGGGTCCCTGGAGTCCTGAGGTGTACATACACCGCAGCGCTGCAGCAGCACTTGAACCTGCTGCAGCTCTTGCCTGTTCCCCTGCTGCACTTCAGCAGAATCAGCGGCAGCAGCAGCAGCAGCTGCTGCTGTTGCTGCTGCTGTTGCTGGTACTACTGGTGCTGCTGGTGATGCTGTGTTTGTTGTTGCGGCTGCTGCTGCTGCTGCTGCTGCTGCTCTTTTTGCAGCAGTTCTCGAGTGACCTTCTGCTGCTCCAGCCCTCAAGAGAGGAAAAGCGAAGGGCCTTTTGCTGCTACTGCCTGTGCCCAGTAAGTTCTTTGCTGCGCTGCTCTGTCCTGAGGGTTTAGGGTTTAGGGTTTAGGGTTTAGGGTTGGGGGTTTGCGTGGTCACTCCCCTTTCTCTTGACTGCCAAGACTGACTGCCGATGGTTTAGGGTTTAGGGCTTAGGGTTTGGGGTTTAGGGCTGGAGGCTGCAGCTCCTACTTCCCGTTACCACCAGATTCCAGGCCACAAGCTGCCCTGCTTATGGTCTAGAGTTTAGGGTTTAGGGTTTAGGGTTTAGGGTTTAGGGTTTAGGGTTTGTGGCCCACCACCTGCCGCCTTGCTGAAGTAGAAGAAAAAAAAGCCCCAATTGCTATTAAGTCTAAAGTGTCTCCGATTTGGCCCAGCTGCGGCTTCAGCTTGTGCCACCCGCTGTTGCTGCAGCAGCAGCAGAAGCAGCAGCAGCAGCAGCTCCAGCCACTTGCAGCAGCAGCAACTTGCAGCAGCAGCAGCAGCAGTTGCTTGCAGCAGCAGCAGCAACGTATGCGGCAGAAAACGCGCACCACACCATCACCATCATCAACACAATCAGGACCACCAACAGCAGCACAATCAGCAGCAGCAGCAGCAACAGCAGCAGCAACAGCAGCAGCAGCAGGAAGCAACTTGCCGCGAGTCGAGTCTATAGAAGGAGAGCGGCTCTTTGAGGACAAGTCCTTCGCTGCCTTTGCTGCACTCTTGCTGCAGCATTTTTCTAATCTGAAAAAACATGCAGCAGCAAATAGACGCAGCAGCAGCAAATAAATGCAGCAGCAAATAGATGCAGCAGCAGCAAATAGATGCAGCAGAAAAGCTGCTAATATAATCGGCAGCAAATGGATTTAGCAACTAATCGATGCAGCAGCAAATGGGCTTGGCAGCAAATGGATGCAGCAGCAAATGGATGCAGCAGCAAATGGATGCAGCAGCAAATGGATGCAGCAGCAAATGGATGCAACAGCAAATAGATGCGGCAACAGCAAATAGATGCAGCAGCAAATAGATGCAGCAGCAAATGCATGTTGCAGCAGGAAATTGAGTCAGCAGCAAACAGATGCAGCAGCAAATAGATGCAGCAGCAAATGGATTTTGTTTGTTTTGAAATTTTTGTTTTTTGTTTAATTGTTTTTATTTTTTCACTTAAATTCTTTTTCGGATTTTAATTTATTTTTGAATTTTTGCTTTTTATTTTTTTCATTTAT